AAGATATATCGATTGTAAAACCAATTATCAAGGTCAAGGAGTGAATCAAATCACTAAAGTTATTAATTTGATCAAAAAAAACAACGAAAAAAATCTATGATCATAAGAGTTTGCACGATAATATTAAAAAATAATGATAATAATAAATGTAAGAATATGTTTGAACAGTCTTTTTTTGTTACTCTATAATGGCATATTTTAACCAATGAAAAAAAAAAAAATTAGTATTCGCGTCAAGGACGATGATTTACTGCGATCGCAGAAAACAACAGAATTCTCCTTAAAAACAGCTAACCACAAAAATCACTCTTAGTCACCACAGAAAACGACAGAATTCTCCTTAAAAACAGCTAACCACAAAAATCACTCTTAGTCACCACAGAATGCCACAGAATTCTAAAAAAGTAGCATAGTTATCGCATAAATTCAGGGATGAGACCGGTATAACTGTAATGGATCGTGATAGTTCTTTTACAGCTTTGATAGATATGTTTATAAGCTCAGGGAGTTTTGAACGTTATTTTTGCGACCGTAATTTACAATTAAGTGTAAAGGCTAAGACATTAAAAACGGTACTAGAAACACAATCTAAGGGTGATATAGTTACTTTAAGATATATTGATGAGTCTGATGAACTAAATGTTTATTTGAATCGTGGAATCACTTGGTCTTTGAAACTGATGGATGTTGATTATGATATTATTACAATAGGTGATTTCGTTTATAATGTTAAATTTTCAATAGAATCAAGCGAATTCAAAACACTATGTACGAATTTACTTAAATGTGGAGAAAGGATGCTTCTTGAATTAGGATCCGAAGATCATAAGGTTAGTTTTAATGCAGAGGGTAGTGAGTTGGTATGACGCAAGTTTCTAATACGGTAGATTTCGAGATACTCTCTTCTGAAGAAATATCATTACAATTTTCTCTTAAATATTTGTTAAAATTTATAAAGAATACAAATTTATCAGATAAAGTCAATGTATCTTTAGGGGATTCCACACCTCTTATATTAGAACATAAATTGAATGACACTGACTATATTAGATTTTATTTAGCACCAATGCTTAACACATAATGAAATAAATTTTTATTTTTATTTTTTTATTAATAATAAAGTTATTAAACAGACATTTCAAAATTGATAGATTTATGATGATTATAATTTTCTAAAATAAAGTCGCTAAATTTAAAATCACCCACGTCATTAACTTGTCTTTTAAGTTTTATAGTTGGGAATTCAAATGGGGTTCTTTTAATTTGTTCTTTGAGACTATCGATATGATTTTTATAAATATATGCATCACCAAGTATTAAATTAACGAAATCTGGTGTTGTGTCTGTGAGATGAGCCACCATGTAAAGAAATAGAGAAATACTAGTGATATTAAACGGCAGGCCCAGACCAATATCCGCGGACCTTTGATGAACCATAAGTGATAATAATTTTTTTCCTGTAATAGGATCGGGTTCACCTACATAAAATTGGTAAAGGTATACACGGTGGTAATGCCATTTTATTAATATCAGATGTATTCCAGAGGTCGATTATAATATGTCTGCTTTCTGGGTTTGTTTTGATCAAATTAATAACTTTAGTGATTTGATTCACTCCTTGACCTTGATAATTGGTTTTACAATCGATATATCTT